TATATATAGCTATAGATATATAATTTTTAGTTACGCAACGATTTGATATTATTGTAGAAGTATAGAATTGTAGAAATATAGTTTTACCACCGATTTAACTGTTTTAAGAAATAACAACTATTTTTTTTTATTTGCGCTAATTTCTGATTGGTCAAAAGAACGACGTTATCTCTATTAGTCGGAAGTAGGCCACTTTAAATGAAGATCAAAGGCAAAAACATCGTTTTCTGAAGTTAGATAGTATATATTCTGACCATATAAAAGTGCTTACAAGCTTTATTACCTATTTTTCATGGTAAATGTTCGCTTTACAATGGACAATATTTACTTTCCAACTAATAAATATTTTTAACAAAGACCATTTTTTTACATTTGCAGCAGTTCCAGATAATGATAGAGAAGTTCGAAGATAATTGGTTTTGATCAATTAGAATTGATTAAAATAAATTGTGGAATTGTTATTGAAATGATTTCATCGATCTTTTAAATATTTTGAAAATATTTTTTTGCTAACTAATCTCTTGTAAGTCCAAAACTTAGTTAAAGTTTGGATCATTTGAAATCAAATCAATTTCAACTTAATAAAAAAAATACTTTGCGAAAGTATATTCTTAATTATTGATACCTAGTTTAGGATTATCTTTTCATCTAAGGTAATAGAGATTAACATCTAAGGTTACATCTAGTCTTTTGATTGACCAAAAGTTAATTAATTGTTATTGCATAAGATATATATTTTTCTCTTCAGCTACCCTAAATATTTTTTACTCGTACCCGTACATCACACAAATTTCACAGTAATGTTACAAATACATAATAGTGATGAAGAAACGTAAATAAATCTCTAAATTAATCACTATTAATAGTAACATCGCAAATGAAGTGTTTTAAAAAAAAAGTGCTTACAGAAACATATCAATAGCATCCCTTACTAAGTATTTCAAAACAAGTATTCGCAAATAAATTTCTCTAACTATTATACCTGTTACTTTTTCTTATTCCTGTTACTTTCTTGTAACTACTATTCCTGTTACTTTTACTTGGTGATAAGTGCTGATAAATGACACTAATAAGTCCAATACCATTCATCTATTGCACTTATCTAAGTTAGGAAAGATAATTCAGATAATTCACGTTTCTTAGTTTAAAAATATATTTTTCTGTTTTCAGCGAATTATGAGAAGTTTGTTTGAATTATATTTTTTTGTTATTTTCTTCATTACTTTGATAAATTTATGCGAATATCTTTCTTCCTCAATAAATTTATAGAATTTTCATTTTTCCTGAAAAATCCACATAGCTAGAACTTCGTTAACATAAGTTAAAGAAAGTCTTTACTAAAAAAATAAATATGCACTACGAAGCTTCCAAGCTTGAATGATTAACTTTAAATGCAGAACAAAAAACATACTTCATAACAACAAACTTCAAATGTGAAACAGTTCTACATAAATTTTATTTCTCAGCGGCTTACATTTACTCTATTTTCGCACATTTATTTATCTACTATATTGAAATTCATTAACTATTACAAGCTTCAGTCTTTATTTTTATAAAAAATTTCCTTTGTGTTTATAAAAGATATACTTATATTTTGTCATAATTAAATCATATAAGCAACGCGCTTATCCTTGCAAATTATTCAATAAATTGCGCATCTCAGCTTTCAATAATATGTTTTAAATTACCACGTTCAAGCAATTGACTTTAGATAAATTGAATATTTTCCAACATACATCATTTGGGCAAGGTATTAATAATTTAAATCCGCCCTGGGTTACTGTCGATTAAGAAAACTTATGATCCGTTCCTAAATTTGAAACACGCGAATGCGTTATAATAATTCTGCGTTCAATTTATCACGTTTATACCGATTAACTTTCGCATATCGCTTTCAATAATCGAGGGATATCTGTATGCAGCAAGAACTATTTCATTTCAGATTCATTTGGGAAAACGAATTTAAAAGTAGTTACGAATATTTTAAATGCACGCTCTGCAAATTAAATGCTTTATGTATATTGCTGTTTATTTCAGTAAGCACACAATACTTCTATCAATATTTTCCTTTGTTAATTAGAAAGTAATTTAGATCTAAAATATTTCGTACGTGCCATAAAATAAAATTAACATATCACATGTAGGGCACAAAAAAATAACAAGTCACAACCCTATGTGGATGTAGGGTACATCTTAAGGGTATATAATTGCATAACAACCAATGATTGGAAATAGCATCCTACGCTGCTAGGGAAGCCTTTGCTTTATGGACTGGCTGTACGTGTGGTACTGGTATACTAGTACTTATAGTTAGTTAAATTATCTCAATTACTGATTGATTTCATGTCTGCAATGATTATTGTTGAAATAGCTCATAAATTAGAAACTTACAAGCCAACGTGGTAGAGTTGACAAATTAGTCACCAAATCATGACATATCAATTAAACAGTCATTTTGGAGCATTTTAGTATTATATTTAGCAATCACTTATATTAAAAGAAAAACCAAAACTCATTAACTTTTAAGAGATAAAAAAAAACTCCTATTAAGTTTCATTCTAATTTTTTGTAATTATTGGGGAAAATAGTGTAACTATCAATGATGCAAAGCAGCACGTTCTGACAGAGATACAAATAAATGTATACGTTTTTACTGAGATTTTAAAATGGAATGACTTCAAAGATGAAAGTCCCAGATTCATATTTCCCATTGATAAAGGAATACGCAAAGTATTTCAGTTACAATATTCTGTAATTATGGTAATAACTAGCGTAACTAATAATAAAGGAATATAACTTGTTTTTACCTAGATGAAA